TGTGCTATTCAAAGATGTGTATGTGTGTGTATTCAGGCCAAGTCATAAAGAAAGCAATAGAGGTCAATATACTTTATGTTCTACAGTCGCTGCAGATTAATGAATTATAGTGGAAACTTGAAGATCCTAGGTATAGTAGTTTGTGGGAAATAAATACAGTGAAGTGACCATTTAGCTCTTGTGGCATGAAACTGCTTAGTGCATTATTATTTGCTTTTCTACAATATGATATTTGTTTAATAATTGATTGATTTAGTGCATAAAATAGTTGATAAATAAAATGTTAAATATCTAATCTAAGGGAGTGTCTTTGACACATGCTGACTGCATTCTTCTTATAACCAGAACAGGAAGTGAGATCAGAGGAGAACAAGAGTGAGCAGTTTGGTGAAAGGAACAGGAAGGATGAAGAAGAGGTGAATATCCACACAGTTTAAAAGGAGACATCATGGCACAATAAGAGCACAAGCTCTAAGATGAAGACTGGTAATGATTAAAAACTGCACTAAATAGTATCATTCTGTGACTTCACACTTTAGGTAGTGCATAACATGTACCACTTTATATTAATTTTACTATATGTTTAAATAAATAAAAACAAATAACTTTAAAAGGTGCTGTTATTGAGTGAAAATTCAAAAGACTTCATGGCTGGGGAGAAAAAGGGAGAAAGATGGAGGAACACAGCACACATAAGAAACAGGTAAGAGTGGACATGAAGTCAAAGTCAGGGACATGTCCGATAATAAAGACCTTCCACCTGGCTACATATATGTCACTTCTGCTTTGCGCACATTCATCTATGGTGATCGCTCATAACTAAGCAGGGTGCTATGCTCTTATCAAACGATGATCCGAAACTGCTCTTAAAATAATTATTACAAGAATATATACATATTTTTTTTGTTATTTTTTTAGTTGAATATAAAATGTTTGTGTGTGATTGTCAGTACAAAGAGGAAGCGCGGACAGAGAGACTGGAACTAACAGAGATCAGGTGGATTTTTCACAACATCTACATGCATTAAATGGATGCGTTGTGTGCTTTTCAGTAGCACTCTGCTATTAATGTGAATAATAGCATTTAGCAACATTCACATCACTGTAAACTTGAACAGGATGAATGCCACTATACTGATGTGACAGACTACAAATCTGTTCTCCACTCTCTGAATTGGTGTACACGAGTCTCTGTGCTGAGTCTGCACAACAAAGTGTTTGGGTTTGCATGAATTCAAAAGCTGTCATTTAAAATCAGCTCTATTACCAGTTTGCTTCTTGTGCAGGTACGTGGAGTCGCAGGGGGATTTTGAACTGTCTGTATTGTATAATGGTACTTTAAATACTTGATGATTTGGTGGACCTGCCTCTATGTGGTTAAGAGACTGAAACAATGCCGTGCAGGTTTCTCCTCTGATCTGCTTTTTCTTAAACTGTTTTTGAAATTTACTGTCAACATGACTGTGCCATTGCATCGGGTTTTAAACTAAAGTGACCACCGTAAAGCTGATGTATTATATTAAAATCTGTTATTCTTAGACACTGCTGTAGGTCATCCAAAAATTACATTTCTTTTGAAGGCAACACTAAAAGCATGACATTAAGACTGAGCTGAGCCCTCCTAAAGGTTTGATGCTGGAGTCGCCCCTGATTGAGTGCTTCTCACACATTTATGATTTTGAACAATTTACAGAAAATAATATCAACAGTAAGTACTTTTAAAGACTTAACATATAATAATAGTTGCTGAATTCATGCAAGTCAAATAACTGATTGATCAACTACAGAAACAAAATTGTACTTCATGCGTTTCATGAGCACAAATCTTCATCTGTAAAATAACAACTAAAGATGTCAGATAATTGTAGTGAAGTCAAATGTACCAATTTCCACTTAGAAGCAGCGGAGAAGAAGCCACAAATGTGATGGAAAGAGTAATAGAATAAACAGCATCACAATGATATATGGGAATATGACAGTAAATACTAAATATTAAACATTATTGTGCAGCACATAAGATCAACAGAACACAGTGTGCTTTGAGGTAGGAGCCAAAAAGGGTGTAGTTTGTGGGTGTGATCACCCATGTGTACACCTGTGAGCATGGATGCGCTTGTTTTTTTTAAAAAGGTTCCTTCATGTAATGATCTGCTAGAGGGTGTGGGGGGTGGGGGGGGGCCACAGCCCCGTCCTCCAGGGCATGAAGCAGGTATGGAGGAGATCAAAACTCCAGACATCCAGAGGCCCCCAGAACACAAGAGACCAAGGAAGACCAACAGAGGGGCAGCCGCGCCACTGTCCCAGAAAGAGCTGAGGAGAGTCCCAGATGAGGGCTCACTCAGCAGCCGCGGAGCAGAAGCCAGGGGGAGTTGCAGTGACGCGCCCGTGAGCTCCGCCGGCAGCCAGCCGTGCCTGAGTGACCGAGCCCCAGGCCGAGAGGCCGGGGGCACCCCACCTCCGAAGTGGCCCGAGCGAGCCCCAGGCTCCAGGCCCCGATAAGCGGCCGCCAAGGAGTGAGCCGGTGTGTACCTGGACGCCCATCCCCGGACACAAAGAACCACCAACGCACCGATGTCTGAGGGAGTCCGCCACTGGCAGGGGAAGTGGTGGTAGGGGGAGATAGGCCTCCAAACCTTGGAGGGCCTGAGATGTCCCCAGAGAGGTGGCGCCTGACACCCAACCTGACATATAGACACAGAAATACAGGCACACACATATACAAACATCCATTCCCACCCTCATGCTCTCATATGCACTTACTCCACACTCAACCAACGTGGAGACAGACATAAAGAGACGCTGTACACACGATCACACTCCCCAAGCGTACCCTACAAACCGGGTCTAGGTACCCTTGCCCCTGGAGGGGGAACTGCACCCAGACCCAGGTGGTATTACCCTTTTCCCTGCGGTGGGGGAGGCAGACCGCCCCGACTCCGCAGCAGCAGGGAGGCCCCACACCCCAGACCGCAGTCGGACGGCCAACTCCTCCTCCTAGCCCCCCCCGCTCCAGCAGGTCGCAGAGAATGGGGGTGAGAGAAGACTCCAAACCTCCCTCCACCCGCTCATTGTAGCGTTGATGCATGTGTGTTCTAAGGTGCATTTAAAACCCAGGAGGGCATGGAGCTACCTGCCAGAGAGCAGCAGGTAAGCGCATGGTCCCTCCTGCTAGCCCTCAATGTCTACCGGTATGTGTATTTAACCTTGAGAGCACTTTGTTACTAGCGGCCTGTCACAAAAACACATTTTGTATAGTGTTTTTTTATTATCTTGTTAATAAAATGTATACAAATGTGTGTGATTAATCACAATGTGTTAGTGTGTAATCACCCTGAGACATGCATGCCTGTCTGTAAGAGTCAGATCTAAAGCCACTTGTGATTTGGAGATGCAGCCTGCAGATTCTGTCCAGATTATCCCAGCTCTCTTCACTATATATCCAGGCTTCACTTATCAAATCTGTAAAATTCAAGGCTGGTCCTTAAAAGTTGCCAACAATGCAAAAACTGCATAGCCACACAAGTCCAGCGTTTCCCACCGCAGCAGCTGTGAAACGAAAGAGGAGAAAGGATGAATGAGTGTTTGCTTATCGGCTCTCCGCTCTCCCCCAAGCTGGCGTTGTTCTTGGTAGCCATGACAACGGAGATAGTCCCAGCTTTGTAAATACAGGCCCCAACAGGCCAAAAAAGAAAAGGGAAAAAAAAGTATTGGGATTCCCTGCGCAGACCAGGAATCCCCCTAGCAGACTGAAGACACAGAGAGGATTTGAAGTCAGTGAGTGTGTGAGTGAGTGTGTAAGTGTTCGAGCCTCGACTCGAACCAGCGCCTGTCTGTGCTTCAAGTTGCCAGGGGCCGGCAAGTGTTCTGCGCCACCTGGCGGCCGTGTAAGCCGTACAAATTTGCTATATTTGACTTCTCTGAATATAAATTATTTTTGAAAAGGAAAAATAATAATTTTAATGTGAGGCAAAACATGTATGGTGCTCGATAAAGATGACACGCCGACTCACTTCTTCTTCTTTCTTTTTTTTGCAAAGTTTGTTTTCATATTAAACCAGTGTCAGTGACGTCATTCTATGCGACTACCACAGTAAAGGAAAAGCCTGGATCTGTACATCTTTTTCTTTTTTTTGTTGTCTAAAACACAAAAATCGCGAAACAGTCAGCTCACAAAGTTGCAGGTTGGTGGCAATTTGGCAGAACAGCCAATGACTTAAAACATTTAAGTGCATATATCTTGCCACAAGACATGTGCGCTAAGCTAGCCAAATTAGTTTCTGTTAGCGAATTATGTTGAAGCTCCTCACATATCATCATCCAGGGTACAGTCATATGCTCATGAGGAGATCCCACGCAGGTAACACTACGGCAGTGCAACAAGTTAAATATGCACACATTTTAAGCTATTTCCTAATATCTAACCATTATGATAAATGTTTGCCTGCAACCGACACAACCAACACAAATGTCATTGAAAAAAACAAAACCCTGTGATCACATGTTTCTGTTTTTCTAGAACAGAAGAAGCACAATTTAAAAAGCCAGTAGTAATAAATCTTTGTTGTTACTGCATGATTCGAATGAAGTACCTGAAGTCTGGCTGGAATAAGAAGTGGTAATCTGTGTACTGTGCTAGTGATCTGCATAATTCACCTCATCTGTTTGGATGGCAGAAGTCGGCTAACTACACAGCTAATTTCATCAGGCTGCTAATGAAACATCTAAAATGATAGATGGTTAACTACACAACGGAAGTAACAGCATTACAATCACTTGATTTAATTACATTTTCCCCCCAAACTTTTGATCCAAATTAGCAAAGTACTGCAGCCATCTGAACCTTCTAGGTGTTACATGTTACAGTGTTCCACTCTGGCCAGCTTTGAAAATGGAAAACTGTTTGCGTGGTTTACTCGGTTCTGTAAATAAGGCTCCTTTCATTTGTGAGACTGTATTCCACAGCCAGTTGTCTTCTCTCCCCTTTGGTCCGCCCTTACAAGGTGAAGGTGCTGCCCACCCATGATACCAGCAAGGTGCGTGCAAGTGGATCCGGCCTTAACACCACTGGAGCGCCCACCTCTCTGCCAGTGAAGGTCACCATTGATGCCAAAGATGCAGGTGAGGGACTGCTGGCAGTGCAGATCACTGTGAGTGCATGAACGTGGACCACACAATAATGTATTCAAAGCATTGATATTTAGGTAACAGTTTTTGTTTTCTCCTGAAGGACCCAGAGGGGAAGCCCAAGAAGCAGATATCTGTGACAGCCATGATGGGACCTACCTGGTGTTTTATGTGCCAGACATGACTGACAGATACACCACTCTCATTAAGTACGGAGGAGACAAGATCCCTTATTCACCCTACTGAATCAGGGCTCTGCCCACTGGAGATGCCAGCAAGTGCACTGTCACTGAATGTTGTCCAGTGGCCAGGTAGGACTCACTTCCTTGGTTGCTTATACACTTTTAGTTTTCTTTGAAAACGGCCCTTTAAGTCACTTGATCCATGACTTGAGCGAGCACTCTCCATTTGTTCATTTGATAGTTATTGTAGAAAGATAAGAAATGATGCTTTAGTCTTTTGTAAATTATAGTCAAACATACAATAAACTGAGGTATTCCTTTGGTTAACAGAGCAATCCGATAATAAAAGTGGACAAAGCACATCGAGTTGCCACAAATATCTTTGTATATTACGCAGTGGGGCAAAAAATGAGGTGACCAAATACTTCTTTTCCACCATAATTTGCAAATCAGTTCTTTAAAACTCGGACAAGTTAGAGGTATACCTATGATGAAAATGACAGGCCTCTCTCATATTTTTAAGTGGGAGAACGTGCACAATTGGTGGCTGACTAAATACTTTTTTGCCCCACTGTATTTGATCCTGTCTCCCTCAATACTATTTAATATCTAAATGCTTGATTCATCATATTATAACAAATGTGCTGTTGTAGCTACTGACAGTGAGTTTGATTCCATTTTTTCCATCTACCAAAGAGAAATAATATCTCTTAGTGGCAGGTGGATCACACGTTGATTCTAACACTTTGCATATGACTGGGTAGGATGAGCATTTTATAAGCGCTTGTGTGGTTTTTGTTTATTTAAGGAAATACATCAGTTTCCCTTGTATTTTAAATTTGAGTGAAGATCCTAAATTGGCCCCCACTCTTCACTTTGAGAAAAGGCTAATCTGTCTTATCCCCACATGAGCACAGTCAGATATAATACAGGCTTTCACTCAGGAGCAGGAAGGCTAAAGGCTGTTTAATGTTTGATCTAACTGTGTCAGACATTTGCGTTCTCACGTGCATGGACAATATCTTGAAAACTTCAGAGCTGCAGTGCATGTGTAAAAGTGGTTAGAAAGCAGTGCTTTAACACAGGTTTTGTCTCTTTGCGTAGCTGCTCGGTCCATCCAGACTCCCCTCGATATACAACAGTGATGCCAGCAACTCAAATACAAGCTCTCTCCAAGTGATTCCTTCATCATCAACATCTGCATCCATGATCCATTAGCTCAACAGCAACATCTGTCAGCTGTGCATCCAACTCGGGGGAATCGCCTGCTGTGCTCAGCCAGTGGGCCGCAATTTCTGTGCCTTGTTGATGGCCTCGCTGTATCCTGTGCTGGAGAAAGCTGGTAAGGAGACACTGCTGGTGAGCCAGGCGGCGCTGAGCTCCATGTAGGACATCAGTAAGGCTGTGGATACACTTCCCTCAAGGAACTGATCAATGAGAACTCTGACTACCTGCTTAATGACATATCACTCACCTTCAGAGGCTCAGCCAGCATCCACAGGTAGTTATGAGGTGTTTTTGTTTTTAGCCCAAAATGGACACAGAAATGAGTGCTGGAGGGTTTACCCGATTTCCTTCTTTGTCTGCTTAAGCCTGTGCGTCCCTTTCAGTAAGTGATTTGAATCCACCTGACATTCAGAAGGTCGTGGTAGAGCATATCGTACGAAGGCAAGATGTCAAACACATCCAGTCCCAGGTTAGACTCCGTACCTTCTCCGGTAAGGTTCCCAGACCTAACAACAAAACTGATTATGACACGTGGCGCACACAAATTAACCTGCTCCAAAATGACCCAGCATGTCCCGCTGCAAATATCCAGAAAGATCCATGAGAGCCTGCTCCCACCAGCAGCTGATATAGTTAAAATGTGTGACTCACAGGTGCTATAGCGTACGGCCACAGCTTCACTCTGAGCTCCATCTCCATAGAGTGCAGACAGTGATATCTGATACTCCTTAAGACACAGGACAACAGTTTATTGAGATATTGTATTTTTTATTTCATAATATGTACTCCAACAACTCAATAGTTCTTCCCCACCTGCCTCAGGTCGCTCCACTTAGGGAGATCCACTTAATGAGGTAAGAAAACATCATCATCATCTGCAGCTTCCCAGCGCACCGTGATGTCACTGTCTGAGAATTAGTTATCCTAAGGTCTGAAGGAGGAGGCACCTTCACTAGAAGAAAAGAATATGTGTATGGAATTTTTTAAAAATGGGAAAGCTACATCTTTATATCTTTCATTATTAATAACATTTACAGTACTGTGCAAAAGTCATGAGCCACA